TTCCCACCCCCCCCCCCCCAAAAAAAAAAAATCATCGGTGAACGAAACTGCTGCAGCTACAACCACTGTACGACGAGTACGCGGTTATTGCAGCTGACAATGATGACATGTGTGGCGACGTGTTCCGTAAAAAAGGTAATGTATTTGCATTTCCAGCCCAACATCGCTCCCTTGTGATTAGGCTTTCGAGCCAATGACTTTGGTTGAAAACCTTAATCGTCCTGTCTAGGTGTGGGCGCCCTGGTTCGTACAACCATGACATTCACAACTAACGATGCTCTCTTATGCCGCCGTCGCGTGGTACCATCAGCCGGGTCGCCTTACTTGCTGCATACAGTTGGGCGGGTAAGCGAAAACATGCTACTGCTGACGCCTTTCTTCTTTCGCTTTCTCATACTTTTTCTCCCCCTCTCCCCACCCCATTATAACTCTCTCCTTGTAGGCCCAGCACTTAGGGCTGATGATTCCGTTCGTCTTGCATCGGTTTTGCGTACATCTGCTCGTCACATGGCACCGACGTCTTCAGGTACCTTCATATCAATCCTCAAGCCTCGACACCATGTCTATCTGGCCGCGTTCAATGTCCGCACTCTGAAGCAAGCAGGACAACAAGCTGCTCTTGCACTCACACTGGACTCGCTTGGCATTGATGTTTGCTGTGTTTCAGAAACGAGAATTCAAGATGCAAGCACAGTGATTCAGTTAACCGCCCGTCAGTCTCCACTCGCTTCCAGCTGCGCACCTCTGGTGATCCAGAGGCTGCTGCGGCGGGATGGGCCGGGGTTGGTATTGTGCTAAGTCACCGGGCGNACCTGTTGATAGTCGCCTCTGTACGGTTCGTCTGGCAACGTCTGTGAAGGAGTCTCACAAGCCGCAAGTCGATAGATGTCTGTTTATCGTGTCTGCCTACTAACTTCCGAACTAGCCTAATTCGTCTGGCCAGATGGTGTCCTCCAACGGTAGGTCGGCCACAAACTCAAATCGACCACATTGCCATTAGTAACAGTTGTCGTGAATCAATAACTGACTCAGTGGTGAACGAAATTGCGACAGCTGCAACCACTGTACGACGAGTACGCGCTTATTACATAACTGACTGCCGGTCGTTTTGGAACACATCTGTGACTCTGATGACACGCTCGTCCGGAGTCGCTTCACCCTACGTTTTCCGGGGCCGCGTAAGGTGCGGACAAATCGCCTGGCACCTGAGAGACTGGTAGATCCTGATTTTTGACGAAGTTACCAGAATCATGTTCCAAATGCTCCACCGTCAGATTTGAAATCATACTGGGGCGAAATTGCATGGTGCTGGGAATTTCGCCTGTGACACGAGCCAACCAGGCGCACCCAAGCACTGGAATCAGACCGAACGGTGGCACTGCTTAAATCCCGGAGAAATATTCCAGGTGGTCCGGAACATAATCCGGTGCGAAGAGTTATCAGACGTGAAGTGAAAGTGAGCATGCGAGCCGACTGTGAAGTGTGGTGGACACAAAAAGCTAATGAAATGGAAAGGCCCAGAAAGCCGGTAATGCCCGAAGATTATTTCAGTTGATCCGTGCGGCCGGTCCCCCGAAACCACCTGTGAGCGAAACCATCAAGCATCAGAATGGGACGACCATCTGGAATAAAGAAAAACGCCTCGACCGGTGGGCCGAATACTTCGAACAACAACTGTCGTGGCCACCAGCAGACACTCATCTAGGGCCCACAGATGAAGTAGAACCCTGGACGGTGAACGTGGAACCCTGGTGTTCAAATAGTCTGAAGAAAGCCCTGTCGATCAGGAGTACGCAGACGACATCGTTCTCATCTTCGAAGAGGAGGAGAAGGCGCAGGTATTTTTGGACGAGCTGACCAAAGTCATCTCGTCCTTTGATATACACTTTGCACCCACAAAGTGCAAGATCATGCTCGTGGACATGCAGTCACTGCACACGCCACTTACAATCCAGGGAGAGGCACTCGAAGTGATGGAGCGTTTTACGTATCTTAGAAGTTGTATTAGTTCTGATTGTGGTTTGACAGATGAGGTGAATGCACGAATCTGCAAGGCTCGGGCCGGGTTTGCCAGAGACACCTATGGCGTCAGAGTGGTTTATCCTTTTAATCTCAGGGAACGTGTCTATCAGGCTACAGTGTGGGCTGTTCTATTGTATAGTTCTGAGAATTGGTCTTTTCGAGCAGCGGACTGAGACGTCTCCATGTGTTCGGCAATCGTTGTCTCAGAACGATTGCTGGTGTGGGTTGGTGTCGGAAAATCCGCAAGGGGGCAGTTAGCGCGTTTTCGGTTGTGCCACGGGTACTTCCATTGAAGAATGTGTCCAGCACCAGAAGCTGCGTTGGTTGGGACATGTTTTACGCATGCCGAACCATCGTTTGCCGAAGAGAGTGCTGTTTTCCTTGCCCACTTTAGATTGGCGTAAACAGAGAGGTGGCCAACCCTTGACTTTGCAGAAGAGTATGGAGATCACGAGAGGCTTGGGTGCTGTCGGAGCTATTCGCCTTCCAGGATGGGGACCGCGTGATCCTCACTGCGCCTGGTTGGAGACACTACAAGATATAGCAGCCAACCGATGTCAGTGGCGTTCTTGTTGTTGCTAGTATGGAGTCCCTTCTCCATCTACCTCTATTCTTTTCTTTGCAATAAGGCTTTCAAATAAATCATGGTTGTACGGCAGTGAGGCATCGGTGTTGAACACTTATGTCATGCTGTCGATGATGTTGATTTTGGGTCCTCGGTCGGCGGCGTTGTGACCTAGCCATTGTCTGAATGCCCTGACGGTTAGTTGTGCTGCTGCGGTGCGTGTTTGAAGCGCAGCCACGTTTTGGATTCCCTTAAGCTGACTAAAAGCATGAGCACCAGTGTGAGCGATCTCCAGATAACTGGGCTTCCTCGGTACTGTGATTTATTTATTGCCCATTCCGGAGTTCTTTCCCATGTCCCAATCTTTGTTAATCTTGGTAAACTGCGGATTTCTCACTTGTGTTACTTGTTTTGGTTAGTGTGGAAGCTATGCACTCAAAGGGTGCCATCACTGAATCACTAGATATGTACTTATAGCGGAGTGACGCAATGGCCGCTGCGCGTGTTCGGTAGGAGTTTGACATACCCATACTGGATATGAGAATGAGTTTACTGGACCTCGGTCTTGAGCACTACTGCATCCACTCTTCCCAATGTAATAACCGCGTGGCTAACGATCTCTAAGAAATCCATCAACCCGATCGCTGCAGTGAGACAACAGTGAATAAGTCGGACCAAATTGAGCTGTGTTCACCATACGTGAGCACAACGTTGGCCGTGGTGAGCATCTTTCAAGAGATTTTTCTTTCATCAACAATCTAATATTTTTTATCGAAGTCGTTGTACTCCCAGGACAAAACGAAGGCCGAGTTCCCTTAAAATGATCCATTTTGGGGTAACGTTTTTCACTTATCGCCTGTTCTCGTGTGCCACAGGGAGTATACTCTGGTCATCTATCTCCCTCTATCTTTTCTCTTTTAGCACTGGTTCTCATCCAACGGGACATCGTGTTTGCTGCCAGCTTGTATCTACCAAAAGACCCCGAATAAAAAACTGTAGCTAGCGCGTTCTTTTCACATTTAGGCAGAAATGTGAGGGCTTTCGTCCCCGACCAAATTCGTTTGCATTCAGGCACAGAATCAGGACACCATGACCCCCTCAGATACAGGACTGTGTATTTTCGGTCTGCGAAAATGTTTTGCGCAGTTCGTACACTCTGTGTGCGTTGATAGCCTGTTTTTTTCGGTGTTCAGTCGATCGGTGTCGTTGGCCTGCAGTCGCATACAGGTAGGATTTATCACATAATGTGCAGACAAACAAACAAGCAGTGTCGTGTATGCGAGACCGAATGTCGCTATCATTCACGATTGCGCATTCGTGTTTGACGAGTTTCTCTGCAGTAATGTCGTAGTGGTCTGTGGATTCATGTTTATCTCGAACTCTACGTATTTTCGAATCGCTGGTTACAGTGCGTGCATTGATAACCCTCTGGTTTAGAAGAGCGGGGCCGCTTACGGCACAAGATGCTGAATTCCTCGGTAGGGTGTTCGATAGTGAATTGTTGAGCACGTGAAATTCTAGCATGTTGTGCTTTGAGTTTCTGGAATGTTTGAACCTCCTTCCACAACGTTCACAAGGAAAAGCTGGGAACATTTGGGCGTTGAGCTCAGAGGGAAACTGTCAGGACGCGCCCAGACATGAAAAAAGTACATGTGCAGAGAGTGACGCATCCCCAGGGTCACCATCGGCACGACATGTCCTGAAAGCAGGTGCGTTGGCGAAGTCCACGAAACACGGCTTAGCAGTATAAGACCAGTGGAGTGGGGCTGAAATTGTTCACGATCGGAACACCGTCATTGGCTGTACAGAACGAACAAGTGAACGACCATATTTGGCCAATTAGTCATCCTATACATTTGCGCAGAAGTTTTGTACGTTTTGTCCTGACAATACAGCCGTGTCCCGAGTTCTCTGTCTTCTCCCTATCGCGTAGTCTGGCAAGCTCAGTGCGGGCATAACCAATAGACGGCTACCCACGACACAACAGAAACCCATATTGGTTTCCACAGAGCGTGCATTTATTCAAATTTTGGGATCTTGCTTTGAAAGCAGAATGCCAGGGAGCACGCAGACATTTGTCACAGCAATTTGTATTGCTAATGGCACGTAGTACATCGTTAAACTGTTTTGACAGGTGCCCGATACGGCTGCAGTTCGTAATACCTTTGCTGTTCTTGTATTATTTGTGAGGTAGTGGATGTGGGTGGTCCGCCGGAGATCACAAGCGTGGAATGTTATCCAGTGATAACAAGAAATTTTCGCATTTTCATTGGCCTTCAATTTTGCGGCAAAGTTTTTTTGTTTTCCTGATCTGGAACAAACAAGTTATAAGCAGATAAGGAAATTAAAGAAACGTGGTGGCTGCATCTTTAGGTTTCACTTTGAATCTAGGTGATTGATGCAAGATATGAGGCCGAGATACTACCTGAATATACGCACCTGAAGTCCTTTGTTAAGTCGAGAAGACTGTCGTTGTATTCGGTATGGTTCTGTAATGACAACAAATAAACAACGGCTATTGATTGAATAGAAGTTTCAATGATTAATACATAGCAATGATTCAATACGAACGTACACTCAAGATTGTACCACAGGTTTTTGAGCAGATCCGACGTAAACATCAAGGAAAATACAGGTGAAGTTAGTAGTCCAAACAGTGTCTGAAGTGTGGAATGAGAGTCATGAAGTGTCGGTAGGTGTGAAGGAATCAACAAACGTTCACCGAACGTTACAGCACCTTTGGGGATCTTCCACCCACAATCCACAGACAGTGTACATCAATATCATTTGCTTGATTGTTTTTTCAGATGCTGTTGTATGTTGGTGGGTACATGAAAAATCCCACTGTCTTGCAGAGAGGGGTTTCCATTTGGAGTTCTGTCTTGCCTCACAGATGATATGGGAACGGTGCACTCTTCGCGACTGGCGCACGCAGCTTACACATCCAGCCGTTTGTCCTGTCTACAGCTGTCTTTCGAGCGACCATCAATAATAGCAGTGTGCAATACGATTCCCCCCATCCCAACCCAAGCAAGCATACAAGGTGACTAGCAGCTCACTGCTCCGGAAGGCGCTGGAATAGAGTTTGTGTACCTACCTGATGAGCCCCTAAAAGGGCGAAACCGGTCGTGGGCTGTCGACGGATTTTCAGCAACCTTATGAGTAGTACATTACAAAGATATACACGTATCGCGA